GACAGCGCGACCAAGGCCGGCCCTTGCCGGCCGTCCGGCAATAACTTTCGAAAAAACTGACCTCAAATAACATGTCATGACATTGAGCTGACTTATTACTGAAGACATGAAAATTTGCTCAATCGGACTGAACTTTGGCCGCGGCGGACGCACCGTGCACCGCCGACGGCGTTGAGCCGTTTTACGACCGAATCTCATATATTCTCGGCAATTCAAACTTAACTGAACGTGATTAATGATCTACTGAATAAATCACATATAAATGCTCGAGAAAAAGGAACTTAACTTACTGAACAAGCGAGTACGGCCCGTGGAGCGCTACGTGCGCAACCACGTCACCTTTGGCCGAAATACCGCAAAATATGACTAATCATCCGAACACTTAAGCTAAACTAAACATAATTTTGCATATAAAGACTAAATATGCGAATATGGTTCGGAGAATTTAACATAGAACATGACATGATTCGGCACGGCTTCTCGCACGGCCTTATTTACAAAAGACACGCATGAAGACCGAAACTAAAAACTGAATTCAACTAGCATGATAATCTCAGCCTTACTACCGCCGAAAATTACCTTCAACAAAGCTCGGGCGATATAACTCCCCAGATTCCCGTGCTCGGCGTGACCTGCCGCGTGTATTGCCGGGTGCGTGTCCTTGGATCACCGTGCGGATGTGTACGGTTATGCGTGCGGAAGCTTGCGTGCGTGCAACGGACTACTACAACACTTGTAGATGCTTGCGGCTTGTGTGCAACACTTAAGATTTCTCACACAAAGCTCACTCACTTGACTATATATGATGGCTTAGTTATTGAGGATTACTTACGGTAAGCTTGATGAATATATATGTGGGAAAGGATGGTAAAAATTCCCAAACTCCTCTCTACTTATAGCACCGAATATAGGAGGTGCTTGATGACTTGATTTGGAAATTACATAAGCTAATGACACTTGGATCTCCTCAAATAATTCTTAGATGACTAAGCTCCTTATTTAGCCACATAATGCCACGTTAATAATCCCACTAATTAGAGAGAAATTGGGACAAACAATTACCTTACTCACATAAAAATGTGTACGGCTTTTTGGACTATATGGAAAGAAATTTGGACCAAATCACTAATATATATCACTTAATACATACGGCATTTGCATGATTTGCACTCAAATCTTGTGATTAATTAATCTTGTGATTAATTAATAATTAATCTTGTGATTAATTAATAATTAATCACTTAATTATGTTTAATTATTTAATTAAACATAATGCTTAATTACCAAAATTATTCCGAACGTAAACGATACGTCAAAAATAAATTCCGGTAATTTCGACTGAACTGACTGAAAACAATTAATTCCGAAAGTTAATATCGGAACTAAAATATAGTTTATACTGAAATTAACGGGACATCGCTGACTGAATAATTAATTCCGGACTCATTAACTAACTAAATGAATCGGAATTAAATCTGGAAACCTATTCGGTTACTAAAATAAGTAAACCGAATAATTTATCGACTAATAGTCGAACATAGAATATGACTGACTGATCAATCTGAACTTGAACATGACTATTTATTAACAAAGGCTAGCTTAAAACTGAAAGCTAGTATTTTCCTTTATTAACAAAATACGGGGCGTTACATGTAAGAAGGCTACTGCATTTTGTAGAACTAAGGTGTCTTTCGTGGAACCACTTTTGCAGTGTCGCCCTTATATGTTCAATCAGGCCAAAGATTGGAAATTCTCGAGCACGCTTCAACACGGAGTTTAAGGATTCCGCATTATTTGTTGTCATTATGTTGAAACGAGTTGCTCTGAAATGTGCTCGAGCCCACCGGTGCAAACCAGCATCCTCTAGGTATTTCTGGAGTTTCGAGTGCTTACTGCACAATGCTGCCATGTTGTCTTCGAAATGGCGTATCGTGTATGCTTCGGCTGTTGCCCAAAACAATGCATCCAATTCCAACCTTGGAAACTCGGATTTTATGTTTCTCAACAAGTGGTAGTTACAATCCGTGATGTGCATGTTCAAACACTTTTTCAAAAGCACCTGGAATACTTGTTCCCCTATCCGAAACTATAACAAGATCAGGGGAATCACCTGTTATGTCTTTCAACTTTTCAAAGAAGAACGTCCAAGAAAGCATGTTCTTGGAGTCTACTATTGCCCAAGCGAGTGGATAAATTTGACCGTTTGCATCCTGACATGTTGCAATGAGCAAAGTACCACGATATCTCCCCGTCAGGAATGTCCCATCCACAGATACTACTTTTCTGTTACAAGAGTGGAATCCACGAATGCACGACCCTAAAGCCATGAAAAAGTACTTGAAATGACCTTCGACACTTGTTTCAATGAAGGTGACCATCCCCGGGTTTTTTTGCTCCAAAATGTAACAATATTGTGGAAGCTTTGTGTAACTTCCTTCTGGACAACCTCGAATCAGACTACATCCGTAATGATTCGCCATAAATGCTTTCGTGTAGCTGATACTTATCCCGAACTTCTCTTTCACATCAAAAATAATGTCCTTCGGCTTATAAATCCGATTGGAGTCTTTGTACTTTCCGGAAATGTACTTCCCAATAAGCTTGTACGTTGCATGCTTGTGATCTTTCGTACGCACACTCATAGAGCAAGTGTGATCTCCAACATACTTACGCACTTCAAAAATCTCACCATTTTTTATCTTCACGGCTCTCAAACACCAAGGACAGTTACTCTCAATACAAGCAACAACGTACAAAGTCTTTGTTGATTTTATCACTCTAAATTCAAACTGAAACCTCACAGCCAATCCCAAGTGTTTATCTACTAAATCTTTTTGGTTGGGAAGAGATTGTTACATTGAAAATCTTCACTTTCCGGAATTCGCACCGAAGATAGACAGTGGCGCGGACTCATAGAATGAGTTGCATTCGCAAGGACACCATAATCTTCGGTAGAAAATTCTGACGAGCATCTTCTATCAACAAAACAGTTCCTCTTTCATCTTCCACTTCAACTTCAACATTTTCTTGGATTGGACTATCTCGAATCTCCAACACACGGTCCCATTGGGCTTCCACCCAATCGTGAATTTGGCTATCCCACGTAAGTGTTTCAATAAAATCAGAATTGTGATTGTTGGTTTCTCCCTCAACAAGATTTTCAGTTGGACTATCTCTAATATCAATCAAACTATCTCGATGACCTTCCAGTCCCTCGTGAGTTTCTTTATCCCACGTAAGTGTTTCAATGACCTCACAATTCTGATTGTTCATTTCTTCCTCAACATGTTTTGCAACAAGTCGTACGCAAAGAGGATGTCCGTCACAAACGGATAGATACCATTTCACATTCACATCACAATAGATCTTCACCGGGGGAACTGGAAATTTGGTCATTCTTGGATTGAGTGATAGCATTTCCATTACATGGGAAGTGCTATTGAACTTTATAAGCTTCATGACCGCATCTTCAAGCTCCAAGAAAGATATGTCGTCGGGAACATAAAGAGGAATGACATTTTCTTCATCTTCCTTCACATATCCCCACGTCCAAGTGCCATCTACCTTCTTTTTAAAATCAACATAGTAGCATACTTTTATTCACACCATCTTCGTTAAAATCAATATCTACAAGAAAAAATTATTTGTTACTTCGACAATATAAATATATGTCTTGTCATATGACATAATGCATATACATTACGTAAGACAATCTAAATTCGATATATCATGGTAAGAAATGAAACTAACAAACATATATTCTTCACATAACAAATCTAAGTTCGTTTATAAAACAATCACACCATAAATTTGCATTCATTACAAGATATTATACATATAACAAATATACAATCGTTATCAGCCACCAATAACGACTGCAGAATCGTTCCTTTAGTATTCAACAAAAAAATAAAAAATAAAAAATTATTGGCACAACAAAACATTATTAACATCAAACAAAATGTTTATAAATCATAAAATATGAACTAAAATACTACTAAAATTAAAATGACAAGAAACCCTACCCCAACAATTTTTTGGCACTTTTCTTGTTCTTCAAGAAGATATGTTGTTTTATTCTTCTTCAACAATCAACACATTTGTTTGGCCATAAAAAAATCAAAATGTACTTGTTTTCTTAGAAATTGAAGAATGAAAGAAGAGAAGATTTTTTTTTTCGGGCGTCCAGTGAAGGGGAGACGTTGGGCGACAAAAAACGATAAAAAATCTGTCTTTTTCATCTTTTTTTTTTTAATATAAGGCCATTTTAGGTTTTTCAAATATTTATTTCTCTTTACTTAATGGATGGGTCATTTGGACAAATAACATTTTCACTATCCCTTTTAAATAATTAAACTCTTTGACTATCCCTAATAAATAAAGTGCCCATGTGCATGGCGTATAATGTGTGGAAATTGGTTGATATAACCTTCCACAACCACAAAATTAGGCAAATGACCTTTGCCTCAAAATATAAAAATAAACTTAATGAAAAATACCATAAAAAAGACAATTACTAATACACCCTCACCTCACTTCTTCCAACTTAAAAAAAAAAAGCAGCTCCCTCTTTCTTTCCTCTCTTGAAAAAATCGCTCGCCCACTCTCTCGCCCTCTCTCTCTCGCGTGCCCTATTTTCACAATTTCTCTGTCGCCGATCGAGCACCCTTTCATCTTGTTGGAAACAAAACCAGAGGTATGGATTTTTTTTATGCTTTTGTTTGTAATTTTCCTTGAAATAGATCCCATTGTTTGTGATTTTCCTTGAAACAGATTCCATTTAATTGTGTGAGAGAGGTTGCCTAAGTTGTAATTTTTATCGCCGATCGCGTGCCCTGTTTGTGATTTTTTATGCTTTTGTTTGTGATTTTCTTAATGCTCTTTTTTTTTGTAATTTTGTGATTTTTATGCCCTCTTCTAATCAAATCTTTTTATGCTTTTCTTTATACCCTGTTTTTTTATGCTATTTTTTGCTATTGTTTGTGATTTTTTTTTTAATGTTTGTCAGTGAATGAAACAACAAATTTTCCAAGACTCGGTGTTTGTGAAGAGGTTGCCTAAGGTATGCACCAATGCCAATGGAAGAATAACAACAACCTGCCATAAATCGATTAGAACGATATGTTTACCGTATGAGTACACCGTAAAGTTATTTTGATGGAATGACATGTTACCAATTCTATATTTGATATATATTAGATTAGAACAATATTTTAAACTTGTTACATCATAACGAAACTCGTTTTATAAAATAACGATACTTGTTTCGTTTTAGAAATAGATAGATAATGAAGAATCGTTATACTATTATATTCCATTAAAAATGATTAATATTCTAATTAAAATGAGAGTAATGTCCTTATAATGTATTATATAAAGAAGGTATAATCGTTATACTTGTACCTTATCAAATATAACCATAATGAAGGTACATCTATACTTATATAATAAGTCATCCTATTTACTATATTTAGTAGTAAGAAAAGTCAACATTAATTAATGCATACTATTTTTAGGTTAGTATTTTATTTACTTGTTTTATTTATTTGTTTTCTCCCATTACATCGGTTTATTCAAAAAATTCTCATAAAATCTGTTTTCTCAAAAAATTGTACGTAAAACCCAAAAAAAGGCATTTTCGATCGGTGATAAAAGATTTGATCGGTCAAAATTATATCTTTATTTTACATAACCCATAAATAAAGCAGATATCATGCCTAAATTAAGGAGTTAGTTGGAAAGAAAATGAAATAATATCTATTTTTTTTTTTCATGTTAGTAGGGTCCTCGAGCACAGTGTGATAATTTTTTTTAAAAAAAATGTAATGAGAATTAGAAAATTATTTATAGTTGGTTGAATTTTGTCTTTGGCAAGGTCATTTTTTTTTTACTTTAATTTGATGATTGTCCTGTACTTAGAATAAATTATGTTCATTTATCCCAGGTACGAAATTATTCTGAAAATCTTTCTAAAAAATAATGAAACGGATATGGGAAAAGATACAAATGAAGATTGGAAAAATAGATACATTAAAATTAGACAACTTTGAATGTTTACTACAATTTTTTGAAATTATTACAAAAATACAACATTAAAATAAAGCATACATAAATCATTTATAAACAACAAGTTATAAACTAAATAACAACGCATTTTTTCCCACAAATAAAAAAACACAACTATTTACTAATAGAAGCTAAAACTTTTGTAAATTTGAAAATAAAAGTTATTTCAGATAAGGGGTTTAATTTTTTTCATGAAATTATGTGGCCAAGTAAGTTGCAATATCGGTGAGGATGTCAGAATTGAGCTACATACACAACCTATAAAAGAATGGGCCACAAGGACTATAATAATGACTGAAAAAAAGGGCCAATAAATAATCTATCTATATTTATATAAAAAGTCATCTCTACTAGAATTAGTAGGAAAAAAAGTCAACTCATAATTAATTGGACACCATATTTAGAAAGTTTTTATATTTTTTAAATCATAAAATAGGGTAGCATTAAATTTCTCTAAAATTATGGGTTTCCGTGAATTCATTTTAATAAAATCTGCATCTAAATTTACGTGTGGTTTTGAAGTGAAAATTTTAAATTCAAAATTTCTTCTCATTTTAGTTACAAAAAAATTGGGCTGCATTCAACACTTGGACCAATTTAAAAATTATTCCTTAAATGAAGGTTTATAGATAATTGTTATAAATTATTCCTTAAATGAAGGTTTATAGATAATTGTTATCTCCACTCAATCACATGATTATTTTCAATATATAAAGAGACAGATTACAAATTAGTGAATCATATATTGCCTAATTCAGTATCTTCTCATTAATGAATAAATCCATAGTAGTATACAAATCCGTATCTCATATTATTATATCATTAAGAATATTTATAGTTTTATTATAAAATCATTAAAATATAATAAGTCCATATTGTAAAAAAAAAAATAATTCATATAATTTTATAACAATTCTACTAGACTATTTAACAGTATTCCTTTTTATTATATAATAAAATAATAATTCAATATTTTATGGTGAACAAGAATAAGAAAAACTATTACTTTCTCTTATATCAAGGGATAAATTTATTTGCTAAAATTAAATTTTTATTAGTATAAATGTTTTGATGAGATAATATATTAATTATTTTACAAGCTAGCCATAACATGCTCATATTTAAGGTCCTGGCTAAAAAGACAGCGCAGGTTAAAAGATGTTGAAAAAAACTTATAACCCTATTGTTTTTTAGACTTAACGTTGATTAAAAGAGGAAAAAAATAGATAATAACCCTATTACTCTATAGACTTAAACGTACAAGGCTGTGAAATAATTAATTTCATATGTGGAAAAAAGCTTACAACTCTATTGTTTTTTACACTTAACGTTGATTAAAAGAGGTAGAAAATAGATAATGACTCTATTACTTTTTAGACTTAAACAGTCAGGGCAGTGAAAATAGCTCATTTAATATCTTTGTCCCGTGCATCGCACGGGGTGTTGGAGTAGTATACCCGGCGTTCCAATCAGATTGGACGTATTCTACTTGTAA